CATATCTCGAATTTGGTTTCTGCAAAGCAAGGGACCTTCTCTCCCACCATTCCTTTATTTTTATTTATTTATTTATTTATTTATTTATTTATTTATTTATTTATTTTTAAGTTTGTTATGGGATCCATGTATTCACCAAAGTGAGAAATCACACCCCAAGGGGGATGGCCATACCGCAGTCCCTTCTCCTCCCTTCTTCTTGGGATTTTGGGCATGCATATTCACATGCCTGGTGTAATTTTTAAGCCACCAGGTCTGGGGCTCAAACAGTGGTTGACCATGTGCAAGTCCAGTGCCTAAACCACCATGTCACCTGCTGGCTGCTCAGTGTCAGAATTTTAACAAAAGTAAACATAAAAAGGAAACAAATGGTTTCAAACTTTCTTCAAAAGGTATGTGGTGAGACCAGCAGGTGGCATAATGGTTACGTCACTGCACTCCCATGTAGCCAACTGAAATTCGAGTCTTAGACCCAGTGGCTTCAAATTCACGTTGGGCACATGTGCATGGGTGCCCAAAATCCAGAGAGGAAAACGGAGAAGGGATTGTGGCATGGCTATCCCCCTAGGGGATGACGTCTCACTTTCTGTCTTTCTGTCTTTCTTTCTCTCCATTAAGCCCGCATGCTCTATAACAAAAATCTCTCTTTAAAAAAAAGAAGACATGTAGTAACACCCCTTCTCTTTCCCCTATTGTGCCCATTGGCACTTCTGGCCCAGATCAATGAATGACCAAGAATTAATTGACTAACCAGTGAGAGCTCAACAGTGCCAAGGTGTGAGATAACACTAACTAGGCTTCCCAGTGCTCACTACACCAGACACCGTTCTGAGCTTCTCACGTGTATTATCTCACTTAATATTCTGAGTAAGCCTACTAGATAGTATTACTGGTATTGTTTCCCCCGTTACAATGACAAGGAAATCGAGGCATAGAAAGATGAAGTAAGTTGGGGCCAGCAGGTGGCATGGTGGTTGTGGCGCTGGACTCCCACATGGCTGACTGCAGTTCAGGTCCCAGACCTGGCAATTGGCTTTCTCACTTTCTCCCTCTCTTTCTCTGTCTCTCTGGTGAGCATGTGTGTCCTGTAGCAAATTATAAAATAATAATACTGGTGACTAAAATTAAATGAGTGATTCTTTAAAAAGATTAAGTAACTTGCCTGGAACTGTAAAGAGGTAAATCAGCATTCAAACTCATATTATCTGCCTCTTACTTATCGCACTGTATTTCCTGGTTTTACTCTCAAAAGGCCCGCAAAGACATAACCAAGCACTGGTATGACAAACCTGAACTCCAAGTGTAATAGCAGTTAAATGGCGAGTGAGCCGTGGAATTACTCAGAATCGGGTATATTATTTCCTTAAACTACAAACCATGTGCCAGCTCTGTATCCTGGTAGTTAAGGGGGTAGTATCCTACATGGCCAACCATGGTGTAAAATGGTGTAAATCTACTGGCCCCAGGGGCTTGCGAAAACGTGCCAGGCGTGTGTGCCCAGAATCTCAATTGGATAGAAAAACAGAAGGAGAGAGCATGACTACACTCAATTGAGGGGGGGGTGCTTTCTTCCTCTCTCTTTCTCTGGTGAGTGCATGCACCCTCTGGCCAATAAATAAATAAATATATGAATAAGCTAAAAACCTTAGCAAAAACCTCTAGAAAAAAAAGAATTCTGAAGAACTAAGAAGGCTGATCTTTAATGTGATTCTAAATGACAGGATTCAGTGAGCCTATGAATTTTAATACATGATCACGTTTGCCTTTTAATACCTAGAGTCTAGGCTTGCAGACTAGAGAGAATTTGCCTGTGGCAGTGTGACACTAGATCAAGGCCTATGTCCAGATGCTGTGACACGAGACAGTTTGCTGCTTCTCTCTCTGTTCCGAGACTGATTTACGCGACGTTTCTGTTTCTGTCGAAGACGTCAGAGTACCACGATATTATGTATCCTGCTTGGACATTTTGGGAAGGGGGACCCGCTGTTTGGCCAATTTACCCTACAGGTCTTGGACGGTGGGACCTCTTCAGAGAAGACCTGTTAAGGTAGGTGCTTTAAAGAGTTTGCTTTTCTTCTTTCTGGGTTCTCTTGAAATAAGAAACAGAACATAACCAATTATTTACTATAAAATAGCTAACTTTTATGTAATTCAATGTAATATAAACAAGGTTATGAAGATAATAAATAAGTAAATTAATTAAATAACTAGCTTTTTAAGTTAAAAATAAAACTGCTTATATAGCAGAAACAACTTTGTATGTGTGTAAAAATATTTCATACCGATAGAAAAGGGCAGAAGAACTCTATCTCTATCCTAAATTATCAGCAGTGCATATATGGAAGGGATGATAGGGACTCTGTTTTCTCCTTTGAAGTTTTCTGTACTTTATGAGAGAGTGAGTGAGAGAGAGAGAGAGAAGGGAAAGGAAGAGAAGGGGAGGTAGAAGGAAAGGGAGAGCAACAGAGACAGGCTTTTTCTTTTCTTCCTTTTTTTTTTTTTTTTTTTGCCATAGGGCACATGCACTTGCCAGAGAGACCGAAAGAGAAAGAGAGAGGGAAAGTGAGAAATCACCCCCTAGGGGGGATTGCAACACCATGGTCCCACTCCTTCATTCTCTCGAGGTTTGGGAATACACACACACACACACACACACAGCATGATTTTCTTCTCTTTTTTGTAGAGGTTTTTGCTATAGGGCGCCTGCGCTCGCCAGACAGACCTCTCTCTGTCAGAGAGAAAGAAAGTGAGAAATTACCCCCCAGTGGGATAGCCACACAGCAATCCCTTCTCCTCCATTCTCCTCTCGGGATCTTGGGCACGCACATGCGCCCAGTGTGAATTTAAGCCACGAGGTCCAGAGCTCGAACCGTGGTCAACTACATGGGAGTCCAGCGACAGCCATAATGCCAACTGCTGGTCCCTTCAGAGCATGATTTTCAAGCTGCCGGGTCCAGACCTCAAACTGTAGTCTACCACATGGGAGTCCAGCACTTCAACCACCATGCCACCTACTAGCCCCCAGAGATAAGCATTTTTGACAGGGTCTCACTGTGTCACAATCTTCCTGCCCCAGTCTCCCAGTTAAGTGGAAGTACAGGCACGAACAATCCAGAGTGTTCAGGTGGGCCTGGGAACTGAACCTGTGCTTCCCCTACAGCTTCCAGCTTCCCAAGCAGTGGCACTAGTTGTGTGCCTTTGAAGCTGGGTCTGAATTTTCCCATACTCCTTAAAAGTAAATTTTCCTAATAAGAAAAAACTGCACAATCATGTTGTGGAGGATAGAAAATTATTTGGAAGAACCAAGATACTTGATAATTTAGAGCCAAGTACTCTAAGTGGGGACGAGGGAGCATAGGTGTCTCTCACACGTTCTCAAGCACAGGCTATTCCAGATCCTCTGACCCATGACTGAAACATCCCGTGGCCTGGTGACTATCCTGCCATCATTTCAGGATTTAGATCATCTAGGTCATCCAAGCTGTAGGTATTTTTTCTTTTTAAGAGCTTTTTGCTATAGGGCGCGTGCACTTGCCAGAAAGACAGAAAGCAAGAAATCACCCCCCGGGGGAACAGCCATGCCACAATCCCTTCTCCTCCATTCTCCTCTCAGGATCTTGGGTACACACACATACATGCGCCCAGTGTGAAATTAAGTCACTGGGTCCAGGACTCAAACCGCGGTTGACTTCATGGGAGTCCAGCAACATAGCCATTACACCAACTGCTGGTCCCCAAAATTATTTTATTTTAACTTTCTTTTCTTTTCTGTTCTTTTTTCTTTTCTTTTCTTTTCTTTTCTTTTCTTTTCTTTTTCCTTCCTTCCTTCCTTTCTCTCTTTCTTTCTGGAGAGGTTATTGCTGTAGGGTGTGTGCACTCGCCAGAAAGACAGAAAGAGACAAAAAGCAAGAAATCACCCCCCCAGGGGGATGGCCACGCTGCAATCCCTTCTCCTCCATTCTCCTCTTGGGATCTTGGGCACGCATGCACACGCGCCTGGTGTGAGTTCAGGACACTCAAACCATGGTCAATTACGTGGGAGTTCACCAACATAGCCATTACACTAACTGCTGGTCCCTTTATTTTTAATCTGATCAGAGAAGGAGAGAGTGAGAGCGAGAGAGAGAGAGAAAGTAAACCACCAGCTCTAGGACTTGAACCATAGTTGGCCATGTGGAAGTACTACACTTTAGCCCGAGTG